GTGTACAGAGGGTGTTGCAAACGTGCCAGGGAGAGGCCCAGGGAGATCCTGGGGCCCTCTCAAAGTAGGAAAGTCTGAAAAATATTTTCCTAAGCTTGTCTTTGTACAGCTGCAGCTGACTTTAAGCAATGACACCGAGCAAACTGAAATCTGGACACTGCAGGTTTTTAATCCAAACAGATGTCTTCTAACCCTCCCAGGATGCCCTCTCTGCCTTCTCCTCCCTCCACCTGCTCAAACCTGGTCATGAATTGCCTAACTCCCCATGCCTAACTCTGTCCTTGGGCTGCCTGTTGGAAAACTTGCACCATGCCTGTGACCTAAACAGCCTCTCTATGGTTAGAATACCCAGCAAGAGGACAGGATTATGCTCCTGGCTTAGAGGCTGTGGTTTGCATGCTGAATCAATAAGACATTCAACATATCCATGCCTCAAGTGTTTCCCACTTTAAAACAGAAGCAGGAGGGTTGACTGTCTATTTGTAAAGCTGTTCAAAATCTATTGCAAGGTGTCACTGTGTGGTTATTGTTTAAAAAACTGTTATATCTATAATTCCTCAAACTATTGGGTAGGGGTTCAAGCAGCACAGCTACTGGATAGGCTCAGTGTGCTCTTTGGGCTGGTGGATTACCTGACACAGGCAGGGGACTGCAGGACCTGCTGGCAGTGGCCCTGGCCTGGCTGCTGCCAGGACATGGCCAGGTGAGCCAGGACTCCAAAGCTCCTCCCAACCCAGAGTGCTGGCATGTCACAGAAATCACCTTGTCTTGCAGTGCAATGAAAATTGCTGAGTCGCCTTTGCTGCTGCTGCCTGTCCTCCTTCTCATTTATTTTTATCCCACTTGGAAGTGCTCATTAGTATTTACTACCACTTGTCAACCAGCAGCTTAAAATAACAGGGCTGATGAGGGGGATGGGGAAAGCGAGTGAAGAAAACAGACGCTAAAGCAGGGACTGTTTGGCAAGGGAACTGTCCTAAAGCAGTGTAGACTTCACAGCACTATAGCCTGTAAATACAGTTTCATCTCCTGTTCTCTTGCTATTGCATAATTGCCAACTCTCATGTTTTCACTGAATCTCTCTTCCTAGCCCGTGTTCTCCTCGTGCCTCAAATCATCAAGGCAGGTGATTAAGGGAGATACTGCACTTCTCCTCTCTGGATATGTTTCTAGTGATTATGGCTTCAAACCAAACAGCATCCTAGAGACTGAAAAAGTACCCCAACAAAAAGGCAAAGAGCCCATACATACTATTTTCATGAAGCTTCATGGTTGTTAATCTCTTATTTTACCATGTTGCAACATGGTAACTCTTCCTTACTATTTCCTTCCAGGATACTCTACTCATCTTTTCTGTATTTTGTCTTCCCTTATTTCTCCCCTCATCCCCACTTCTTCCAGTCCTTTTCCCTTCCACTAAACACCTGTGATCTCTTTTCTTAACTGCATTCCTGCCACCAGCCCTCTACAGCCCTTTGGCAGCTCCAGCCCTTCCACCTCTATAACTCCAGCTGCTTTCCAGACACGATCTCACATGCATCCTGCCCAGCCACCCTCACTTTGCAATGCTTGTTACTCACCCTTGAGTCCAGAAAACAAGTTCACTAAGGAAGTTTCACAGACCACACAGCAGTTATATGACCTGTAGACAAATTTTTGGGGGTGCTTTCCAACGGGAGATGACTCTCTTTTCTGGCATCTGCTGCCAGACACTACCAAAACCATCAGTAGACAAGTGCCAACCTCCTGTCCTCATCTCAGACTCCACTGGCAGCCTGATGCTTGAGAAAACTGAGCTGAAAGCCCCGTGTTTTATCATTGCTAAAAGTTCTGACACTCCCGCTGATGTCACTACTTTGAACGCTGAGCCATTTTGATGTGGTCTCAACAAAACATACTTGTGGTCTGGATCCAGACTTCATAATTTGTGTAACTCTAATCTAGGCATTAACATTTCCATGTCCCAGCTTAATTTTCTGTAAAAGGAGTATCTCGTACCTTTCCTATCCCTCGCTCTGGTAAAAGGCTCGGTACAGTTTCTTACGTGCACTGAAGTTCTTAAACGAAAGGACTGAATGCAGGGCCAAGGGGCTTTTCTGCCTCCTTGTTGCAGAGCCATTATTCACATTGCTCCAAGAACACTCTATGGGTACAGTTGGTAGGTAGGGTACCAGAGTGCACCAGAAACTTTTTCTCTTTGTGCTTAGATCTTTATCTCAAAGCTAAAACCCAAACCAGCCACATCAGTTAGACTTAACTAGCACTATCTCCTATGACAAGTCATTAGATGTGAGCCCTCAGAGCACATATTGTTTAAGTCTAAGCAGAATAACATTTCTTTGCTTTGTTTACCATGTCTTGTCCAACAATGATATCTCAAGGGCTTGCTGTCTATGAGCTGGTGATTTAACACTGTTTGCCCTGTCTTTGGAGAGCAGGGCTTTCCACTTAAAGGGAGGCTGTTCTTTTTAAAAGAACAAGAGGTTTCTTTTCATTGAAACAGGAGTCAATCTCAGGAGCCTCTGCTTGCAACACCAGTTAGGTTTTGCATCCCATCCCTGGCCATTGCTGGTGGGCCAGAGTGGAAAGTGCTAATCCAGGAGTGCTTGAACTTCTCCAAAGAGCATCTGACCTGGGGCTTTTTTGGGGTCCAAATGTTCCAAGTGTGTGTGTGGGAAGGACATTTCCCTTTAGTGGGTCCCTTTGATCTCTCTCACTTCAGGCTTCCCCTCCAGGCCTATTGTTTGCACATTGCTGTAACTACAGGAAAACAAATGCATTATACAATTTCCCAGACTGACTCACCCTGGTACTTGATGCCTCATGTTGTCTGGTTACCCTGATTGCATCATGTCAGCATGGGAAGCTTAAAGGCTGGGTTTTCTGAGTAATAATACTGCAGTTGAGCAGTAGCTAAAAACAAAAAAACTATCATTATTGCTAGTATCATCAACCTGCAGACTACAAGGGGGAAAACCAAGCAAGCCAAGTCCCTGTGAACCAAACCTTGTGTGAATCATGACTTCCAGTTGGGGGCCATGCTTAAATAGTGCAGTACGTGAATATAAAAACTCTTTACTTCTGGAAACTTGGCCTCAGCCATTGGAACGGGCCAATCCATACTACTCCCTCATCCCTGGCTCCTCTGGGATGTGTGTTGTTCAGTGTGTTGTAAACAGGGAAGGGTGGGAGATGTCCACACTGCTGTGTCATGCGCTGTGGGAACAGGGCCATTGCTCCTGGGTGGGGATGAAACCCCAGGAAGTTTGTCACCCCGTTGGAGTTCAAGCATCTTGCACTCCTGTAACTAATGTGTCTATGGAGAGAGGGGGTTATCCGTATTATTTAACTTCAGTTTTCCTAAGGGCACCCAGCAAAGCTGATTGAGCTCTGAAGAGCAGCTCCCACCACCTGCATTGAGCCTCTCCATCACTGCACCACAGTCCCTTCCTGAGCCATCCACCTGGGCTGCCCGAACACTCCCCACAGGATCCCCTTTCGGTAGCAAGTTCAATTCTGATGAAGGGCTTCTCCCACAACCCAAAACTTTGCTTAAAAGAAAGCAAAGTTCTTTTGCACCTAATTGCAAAAGAATTGCAATTGCACCCTGAGCAGCACTGGCTGGATCTGCACATTCAGCCGTGTGGTATCCAAAGGGATCCTGCTTTAGGGAGGAAACTCAGAGTCCTCCTTTTACACACCCCAGGCCATATGCTCAGGTGCTCTGCAGGAACCAATTTCAGAAATTTAACTTCATTTAAGCCATCACGGAGTCAGAGGCAGTGACACCCATTAGCTCACGGATGAAATGCATCATCTCTTATATTCTCTGGCTCACAAAGGTTGAAAGCAAAGCTAGACAGTAAAAGCATTACAAAAATCCCTCCATTTCTGTTTTGTGTGGGACAAAAGCCTCTAATTTCTTGGTATCTCACAGGGAAAAGAATCACTAAAACCTATGCCTCAAATACTTCTCAGATTCATTTCTGATCACTTGATATTCCATGTAAAGAAGAGGTACTGTGTAAACTAAGCTAAATATATATATTTGCACTGACAAATCCATAGTGACAAAATTCATAAGGCTTTCTTTAAGCTTTGAGGACATGATTAAAGAGTTTTCCAAAGATAGTTCTTCATTCAAAAGGATATAATTACACTTTAACAAGTTACCATGTTTGTGCACTGTAGGTACAAAAGCAGCTCTTACAGGGCTTGTCTAGACACTTCCACCGTGTGCCTTTGTTCTTCTTGTAAAGTCTTTTTTATGAAGGAACTGCACCACTATCCATTTTTTTCATCCAAGTTTTATCTCTTTCTTGATTTCTGGTAACACATTCTTTCCCTTACAGAACCTGTCTTTTTCTAGTTTTCATTTTTCAAAAATTTGCCAGGAAACATTTTGTAAATCCAGATTGATTTCACCCTTCAAATGCACAGAATCCTCTCTATTGCAGATCTTTCTTATTTTCTGGTATTAATTCTTTACCTGGAGTAACTGAACAGTGATCTTTAAAAAAAACAAGCCGTGAAGAAAGTTGTGACCCACAGCAGTGCAGCAGAGTCTCAATCAGTTATCTGTAACCTCAGACAAACAAATTTAAAAAACCATTACCTACGTTAATATATGCACACCAGTGTTCCAGCTGGCTTGCACCAGTGCTACAATTATGCATAAAAGTCAGGAAATTATGTGTGGAAAGGCTAATGAGCAGCATTGTCTGCCCAATTACCAGGTTTACATATGCAAACAGTAATTTTGCAGATCTGTGCCTGGCAAACCTTTTTTCTGATGCTGCATCAGGAGCTCTAAGGGTAACTGTAACACCAAAGTAACGCAAAACCACCTCAAATCTGCTTCAAGCCATTCTCCCTTTTTTGAAGAGAAGAGAAGCTTCATCTGAGGGGAGGATATCACTGAAAGGCTGACCCAGGACACTGCCTAAAGAGACTCCAGTGGAAAGCCTGGGCAAATGGGAATTATGCTTCTTTTTTTTCAGGGATTCAGATTTGTTCCTGCTCGACTCTCGAACGATCTGGGCTGCAGAGGAAGGGTGGCTGGTGTTTGACATTACTGCAACCAGCAATCACTGGGTGGTGAATCCCCAACACAACCTTGGCCTACAGCTCTCCGTGGAAGGCACTGATGGTGAGTGTCAGACATCAGACACCAACTGCAATCAGTGAGCCTCTGTCTCAGAGACCTGAGTCCCAGCCAGGGGAAGCCCTAAGCATTCATCACTCTTTCCTCTGAACAGGATTTCTTAAGCATGTTTTTCCTGAATTTGCCTAAGGTGGAAATAATAGTAGTATTAAAAAAATAGCCCCTAGACATATTTGAGGTTAAGGATGTACTCTGATGCTGTAACAGATTGGTGACCTGCCTGCAGTAATTCCAGTATTAGCTGTGTACACATCCCCATCAAGGTAAGAATATGCTGCTTGGCTAATTTGCAGATAGTGCAATCCAGTCAAGGAGAGAGGAATAAATTTTGCTATGTGCAAGAAGACACAACTGAGTGATGTAGAAAGCTGCTTTCAGTTGGCACAGAAGGTCTTTCAAATTCAGAAGACAGCTAGGAACCATTTTAATTTCCTTTGTGGCAGCAGAACTTACTGGTAAAGTCATGCATGGTCTGGATTCCAAGGTCTGCAGTGTATGGTACAAATCTGTGAGGTTTGGGAACGAGTGGGAAGACCTGGCTCTGAAACATCTCCAGAAAGGATGTGTTTAGAATCAGCTGGGGAGTTTTCCTAATCAGGTCTTAACTAAAAAGTCACGCTACTTTGTCTTAACATTAAGATCCCTCATGCTCACTTGGAGACTTGTGCAAGGAAACCAAAGTATCCTGGATCTTCTTTGAGGTTCCCAGGACCTGAGACCACCTGGAACTGCCTGGCTGCCCCACAGGAATGGTTGAGCAAAAACCAGCTCAAAATTATAAATACTCCGGATGTAGTTATCTAAGGACATAATTTCATTCTCTGCTAACTGTGTCTGTGATATCACTTGCTCTTGGCTTTTATGCAACACTCTGCATGTTTCCAGTAAGTAGCATTTTGCATAAAGACTGTGCAAAGTAGTTTTGAAACAGGCAACCTACAGAGAGTCATTTACATGACAGGGTGATTTAACTCATGTGAGACCAGCACAGAGAAGTGCACAGGGTTTGTTTTAACCTGCCCTTTCTGAGTGATCGGTGAACGCAGAAACCCAAACACAAAGAAGGAGCCTCACCGTGGAAGTTAGTGGTCCCCACCCTAAAGACATCTTTGTATAAAGAGTCAAATTCAACCTGATATACGAGTTAATCTTAACTCTTAAAGTTAGAACAGTAAAGCAAAATGACAGCCAAGTTTAACCCCTTTTCAAACACTTTGCAAAGTAACTTGCTGCTTTCTCCAAACAGATTAACAAAATACTTTAATCAGTCTGTCATTAAAAATTAGAAAATCCAACTGCAGTGTTTAGTAAGTAAATACAGAGATACAGGACCCAATTGTCTGCTTGTCTTCTGTAACTAATTTCCTTGGCAGCGCACCTTTGCACTCACATTTCTCCTCCATACACATGAATTTTTCTTTCTATTTTGAATGGCAAGGACATGTCCTTCCTTGCTCCCCAAGTTTCATTTTGGATTTAGACCAATTGTGTGCACTAACAAAAAAGCTGCTTTTAACACCTGGACTTCATACGAAAATCATGTGCTGCAAACACAGCAGGATTTTGATGCAACACTATATGCTTGGGCAATCCCCAAGGCTTTAAGTGAATTAGAAAAACAAACCACAACCAAACCCAACTTTTCTTTGTATCTGTTGTTACAGATAGAGTTCTGTAATCATGAAGCAAATACAGTTATTTTAAAAAAAATCTGACATCACAAGCACTGTCCAGATGAACTGATACAAAACAAGCAAATTTAACTGATCTTTGTATTTCTTTATAATCTTGCCAAATAAGTCTATCAACATGTATAATAAGGGTAGAATCAAAGAGGTTTTGTTTATTCCTGAGACCAGGGAACAGCTACAGCAGAAGAAATGCTTGAGTGACTCAGTAGCCCTCATCCCAGCACCCACAGGGCCCCTCTCAGCAGCAGCACATGGATTGGGTTTACTTGGTTTGGTACTTAGGATCCCATTTTTGACAGTATTAAAAAATCACCTTCAGAAGAGCAGATGAAGCTGTGCCCTCTGGTTCATGAGCACAGCTACTGCTTTTGTGGGACAAGTTTTTCATTGTCTAATGGTGATTACACACATGTCCTTGTGTTTAACGTTGCTTTCTGGGTGGGTAGGAAAGGTAGAAAGAGCATTTTCCCCAACTCAATTAAAAAGAAATATACTACTTCACAAACAGAGCATTACCTTTTTTCCCCCCTAAGGCAACACTGCCACCATACTGGCCTTGAATGTGATGTGTTGGTGTTGCACTGGTATTTTACTGGTCAAATGACACTTATTGCTGCTCTAGTGCAAATCCATTAAACATCAGGATGAAGCTGGGTCCCCTCATGCATACTGCTGCTCTATTCAGAGACATGGGAAAGGTAAAATAATTTACACTGGAAAAGCCACAGCTGTGGGCTAGTTTAAACAGCTTTGGGAAAGCAGAAAGGCTCATTTGAAGGGGCAGCATTCAGTGAGCTCTAATGCCTGCAGGTGAGCTTGTTTTCAGGAAATAAGGCTCAGATCTGGCAAAGCCTGAGCACAAGTGGAACTACTTATATATTTAACATTGGCTGCTTGCTTAAGCACTTTGTGGGCTCAGCCACAAATGTTTAAAATGAAAACTATTTGGACAAGTTTCCAGAAAGAAGCTTAAGCAGAAGGTGAAGGAGTTGCTGATGAGCGTCCACATATAATTCTACGGCCATGAGTTTCTGTATTTGCTCCTTTCACCCAAGCTCTCCTGCTGCCCTATCCTCAGATTAGTTTTGCCGTATCTTGCTTGTGAGGCCTGGCCATGCCAGGCAGTTTTCCTGCTGCCAGGGTCCTGTTAAACACCTCTTGATCCAGCCCTCTTCACAAATCCCATCTACTGATCTTGGAACTTCCTCATGGTTTTAGAAAAACATAAAATAGGGTGCAGTCAAGGTTGGTCCATTCTTGGCCTTGAGCTTTGACTAGAGCCCCCTTTTCTGGGTCTGTCATATTTACCAATCTTTTGGGCAGATCCAAGAGGAAAAACAAAAACAGTGCCATAAAGACAATAATTTATAAGCCTTGACATTTACTTTACTCATCTTAAAAAGAGCAGCTATAGAATATCACCAAGAAATATTTTAGGTTACCAGCTTCTTTTCACACATTAGTCAGAAACTAGTAGAGTAAGGATATTTCTGTCAGTGGACTGAGAGCCCATTTCCTGCTCTCCCCAGCCAGGCTGCCTTGCAGGGCTTCTCCAGGAAAGTGTCAGCTGTCCTTTGGCACATTTGATTTGTGGCTGACAAGGCCCAGCTCTGTCCTTAGCAAAGGATCACAAAAGCCATTAACATAACTTGGATTTAGCAGCAGCACTCAGTAGCTTGGAACAGAATAATCCTAGATATCATTCCTGCATTTCACAGCAGCACCCAGACATCCTTTGGAGGCAACAGGGGGAAATATTAAATTTCCCACTGCCACCCTCTCCTTGCCTTTTTTGTAAATAATTAATTCTACAGAGAAACCACCTAATTGTCTTTTACCAAAAATCAAATTATTTTAAAGCCCAAGATGAAGGACACGTGGATGGTAAACAGCAGTTTTGCAACAAAGCAATCAGATATGGTAGTGCCAAGATGCAGCAATAAGCAAAATGTCTCTAAACATTTGATTTTTTTCAACTAAGGTATATCTGGAACTCTGTCAGCATTCCATACAAGGCATTTTTATTTTAAGTTAATAACCTTCCAGTGGGAATTTAGTGTTCCTATGGGCTGAGTTTTATGGTTCCTTTTATAGGATCACTTCAAATTATAGGTTGGTGAACTTAAAGAAACCCCTCTAAAGAATGCAGGAAAAGTTAATGCTAAGCGGATTTAGGGTAAAATAATTATATATAGGGCTATTTTATGTAACTTTTACACACAGATATAAAATGAAGTTTAGCTGTGCTGAGCTGCTCTTGTCAGAAGCAGCTTTGCCGTTTAAGTCCAGGTCCTTGGTGAATCAATGCCTACAGGAATCACCCTTAGCAGCCAGCAGCTCTCCACCTTGTTATCCTGACCGTGCTGGAAAAGCTGCTGCAGCCCCTCTTATCAGTCTGTTCTGCTTCAAGGGCAAAGCATCAACCCCAAGCTGGCGGGTCTCATCGGAAGGCACGGCCCTCAGAACAAGCAGCCCTTCACTGTCGCCTTCTTCAAAGCCACCGAGGTCCATCTCCGCAGTATTCGCTCCACGGGAGGGAAGCAGAGGAGCCAGAATCGATCCAAAACGCCAAAGAACCAGGAAGCCTTCCGGGTGTCAAACATTGCAGGTACGCTGTGGGTTGCTGGGTCTGTGTTTCTGGGTGTGGGATAACGTGGGAACAGTTTCTCCCATGACATCTGCTTGTTGTCCCTTTGGTCCACTGCTAGTGTTCAGTTGTTGGTTTGAAACTACGTGGGATTAGGGATTATTTCAAAAAAGTCAGAAAAAGAATGTTTCGTTGGTGCAACGTTAAATTGTGGGATTTCTTAATCCAAATGAAAAAAACCCCACCTAACCAGAAGAACTCTGTTGCTCCCACATGAAATAAATTCTCATTTTGAAATAGAAGATAATTACGTTAAAGAAATGAGTAAGTCATGAAAACAATATTTCAGAGGGTCTGAATCCAAAGGCTGTCCATATTCAGAGTTTATGATTTTAAGTTTAGCCCCCAAAGAGTGTAGTAGTCCCAAAAGTCTTGCATGGAAGAGGAAAACCTATTCTTTCTTAGGATAACCACAGCTATTCTGGGGGGAGCTCTGCTTCCTAATATGGAAGAAAACTCCATCAGGCATTTGAAATAGAAATGTGGCTTCATTATGTGATACCTCAGAGTAACAGGCCCTTGGTGACGGTCCCAGCAGGAGCCACAGCACAGGGCTCACTCTGCAGAGGCAGCAGCAAATTCCAGCTCTGTTTCTGTGAGAGCCTCACTGAATGGAAGGAGAGCTTGTGGGAGGCAGGAGAAAAAGGAAAACACAGCTTCCAACAACAAGAGTTGAAGTCATATTTTTATAGAATCACAGAATCATTAAGGCTGGAAAAGACCTCCAAGATCATCGAGTCCAACCTTTGAGGAATCACCACCTCACAACTAGACCATGGCACTAAGTGCCAAATTCCTCCAGGGATGGTGACTCCACCACATTCCTGGGCATCCTGTTCCAACGCCTGACAAGCCTTTCCATGGAAAAACTCTGCTCAAGCCATTCTTTGTGGTACTTCTGCTTGGATCTCCAGCTCAGGCTACATGTCCGGGATGGGCATACGGTTTCAAAACTGCATGAAGAGTTATGGTTGTTCAGTTCCATGATTCAGATCTTATTCATTGGTTCATCATTATCTGCCATTGGAAGGAGTCTGTAGTCTGGATCCAGCTGCACTGACAGAAAAGCAGATTCTACACTACTTTAACGTCCCATGTTGCTTTTTTAGACCTGAAGGTGCAACTATCAGCAGTGATTCAAAGACAGGAATTTAGAAAATAGGTAAAGGGTGCCTTTCCCTATCACTCTTTTCATAGGTTGTCCTTCTATGTCGTAGACTATAATCAGAGAGATCTGTGTGTTGCTACTAGGAGGTCAGGGGAAAAAAATAAAAAGGAAAAAGAAAATAGCTATTTTCCCAGACCTTTTCTGGCTTTGCACAAGAAGCCAGAAGGGCATTTCATGTGTGTTAAAATGCTGCCATTATTTTCTGACTAAAATTGAAATGGTTAAAAAGGCGCCCCACGTGCAAGAGATGAGCAGCAATGCCTCACTCCCTGCTGGGGGCTGTGGGTGCTGGGGCAGCCCAAGCTCATGGCCACCCATTCTCCCCATGCAGAGAACAGCAGCAGTGACCAGAGACAGGCCTGCAAGAAGCACGAGCTCTACGTCAGCTTCAGGGACCTGGGGTGGCAGGTAAGGGCTGTGTGTCACTGGGGTGCCTTTGCACATCACTTATCCAGCTGAGTAGTGAGATTGAGCCAATAACTGGATTTTCTTTATAATTCTCAGGGCGAAAAAATTGTATATTGCCTTTAGCACGCTTAAGTGCTTCTGCTAAGTTGGGTATACAAATATTTAGCAAGAGGTTGGCTGGAAACTCAACAGCCTTAGGTCTTTTTGAGGAACTGTGGCCCTGGCATTGCTGAAGGCTCTCCTTTGTCAGCTACCTGTTCTTTTAGACCTGGTTAAACACATATTCCTTTCTGAAAGCTTGTATCTGTGTTGTGGTGCTGGGTGAAGTGATCCTTGTGGACAGCCAGGAGGACACTGCTGAATGGATAAACAACTAAACCCAGATGTTCAGCTGCAATATGGGCACATCTGAAAAGTAGAATGTGTCCCTCCAGGAAAAGCAGCTGCTTTAGAGGGCTATAAGACAGCATTAAAAAAGCCAGTGTGCCAGATATTTATTTTGCAGGCCACTGCAACTGTACATAGATGTATGAATGGATAGGTTTATGTGCTGGTTGGCTTTTTGTTTCACTGCACAGTATTTCTGTCTTTCTCCACAATCTAATGGCTTCAATTTACTCAAGGACTGGATCATCGCTCCGGAGGGCTACGCTGCCTATTACTGTGAAGGAGAATGTGCTTTCCCGTTGAACTCATACATGAATGCTACAAACCATGCCATTGTACAGACACTGGTAGGTGCACTGTAGCTCCTGGTACAGGGTTATATCTGACAGGTGCTGTTCAGAAAGAAGTTTGTACACAAAAGAGACTCCGAGACCTAAGAAGGAAGGTCTGCGTTAGCTCATACGATGCCTGCAGAATCTGCTCAACATGTCTGGCCAAGTGGCCTGAATTAATAGTTGGCTAGAAATTACCCTGTCTTTGCTGCAAGCATTGACATGCTCTCTCTACTTTGAAAGGGCCCTATGATAGACATCATGATGGGGGTTTAGTCCCACTGCATGGAAATGAAAGAGCAAGATGTGAGACCCACTATCGGCATCCCTTGGAAGAGCTCTGTAAGGATCCACTGAATGTGGATTTGGGGGCATATTGAGGAAGGAGTCAGTGAATCCCAAAGTTACATGCACAGAGCAGCTGGGCTGTGTATTTACTTTATGAAGTTGTGCAAAGTTGTCCAGATGGGAGCCCTAGCTCGTGACACAGCACCTGTGTTTGAGGGGACTGTTGGCTGGGGCTACCCAGCCCAGCTGTGTCACCAAAGCCACTGCACCCCCAGCTGACTTGCCTGCCTGGACACCTTCCCCTACCCAGCTGGGCTCCAGGACTCCTGCACACATCTGCAGGGCACAAAGAGGCTCACCGTACTTTCTCATCGATATCCCATGTCCTGTGCATATCTAAAGACAACATTGCAAAAAACGTTAGGGAAACTAGAAGCAACTGTTTCCAAGGGATGAAATATCTACATGTTTTTCTCCTGGTAGACTGCCTTTATTTGCCTTTTTCCCCCTTCACCTTGGAGGTCCCACAGCTTGGAGCACAGGGGACCTGGATCCCTTGGCCCCCACTGGGTCTTGGTGCTGCTGGGCACGGGGACAGGGTCCCCTGTCCAGGGCTGAAAGGATTTTTAACAAAACCTCGCCCACACATCCCACAGAGTTTATTGTAACTGGTACCCACTGCAGAACACACTGACTGCTCTGACAAATGGGAGTTTTCTAATGAAAACCTGCCTCACTGAAAGATTTCCAGCTAAATCAGCCTTGGGCGCGCGTGTCAGCCTCTGCACACGCAGGGGACATCTCAAGATGTTTGTACACAAAGCCAGGTGTTCCAAACATGTCCGAGTGAGGGGGTGGGACAGACAGAAGGTTTTCTGGGAAAGAAAAACTTGGGGGAGGAGAGGGGAGAAGTAAATCCTAACATGCCTCTACTTTCATTCCCCAGGTTCACTTTATAAACCCAGAGACTGTGCCGAAACCCTGCTGTGCTCCTACACAACTCAATGCCATCTCAGTGCTCTACTTTGATGACAGCTCCAATGTTATCTTAAAAAAATACAGGAACATGGTGGTACGGGCATGTGGCTGTCATTAGACTTGTAGGAAAGAAAAAGAAGGAAGAAAAAAGTTATTTGTAAAGAGTGGGTTTGTATGGCTATGTGGGGGAGGGGAAAATTTTAGCGCTCCAGCCATGGGTTTAAAAAAAATCCCAAACAGTTTTTAGGACCAGGCCTCTGAAAGATCAGACAATGGAACAGTTTCTGGATCTAAAGTGGCATTTGAACACATTTTGTTTTAGTTTATTGCAGACAATGAGCTTGTAAACTGAAACAAGCCAGAGAAACTGTTTAAAACCTAATCTGCCTACAAAATTGGCTCCTACAATACATACTTTTGCAGATGAGTCTTTCTGAAGATTGCAAACTCACCAGTGTTGATTGTGAGTTAAACAGTAATAATCTATCTGAGGTGAGACTGTGCTGTGACTAATAAGTGTGTGTAGTTCCTGTAACACAGTTTGCAATAAAATAACTAAACAAAATATACCTGGAGTGAACAGGTATTTTGTTAGAGAATTATTCCTTCCATCCCTCTGCTTCAATTTCATGAGCAAAACCAAAGATAATTACGTGCAACTTCCAGTTTTAAAGTACAGTAGCAAAAGCTGGATGTGGATTTACACAAATTCAAAGCACAGACCAGGCTAAGAAAATAATAATTAATTGGCAAGCAAAAGAACTGAAGGAAATAATTCCAAAGAGCAAGACTTCTGGGGCGTATTTTTATTATCGACAGGGAAGGAAATTTCCTCTTGCAACCAGAAAGTATTTGAATTTGCTGTGAATTTGAAACACGAAACAGCAAAATGCTGAGAAACAGGGATTAAACCTAACTTTTAGCTGGGGTATCCTAAGCAGTTATGGAGCTGTGTACTCCAGCTAAAGATCCCACTGCTGTTTGGAAAATGTCCACTTACTTCACTGAGGGAACAAGTTCCAGCACTTTTTGGAGAACATGAAGGCTCAAATGCAGGAGGTGCTGTAAGCTGGGGCATACACCCAGTACCACACAGACTAGAAACAAGCTGGGAAACCTTCCTTCCCAGAGGCAGTGCTTCTGATAAACCCTCTGCTCTGTTGGCTTCTCCTCAAAAAAAAACACCAAAAAAATCCCTTTCAAGAGCCCCCAAAAATCTGAAACCAGAAGCAAGAAAATGTCCCCTCAAGGCTCTTGTTTTTCCTTCTTTAAAAGTCACAGGTTACACAAACATCACACTTAAGTAATTAAAACTCTATTAAAGTTATTGCAAAGAAGAATACAAAGTTGCAGCAACCAATCACAAACCAATTCCCCACTTTGGCATGTGCTGGTTACCAAAGGAGGACTGGCATAAATTTCGCCATGAGGATAAAAAGAAAATTATGCCCAATAAAACAACAGGTCCACAGCACACCCAGCTCTAAATCTCCAAACTTCAAAAACCTAAACCTCCAACAGATGGGTCCAAGACATAATAAATCCCTGGAGATGGGTCTCTGCTCAGCAATGTAGCTGCAGTGGGAACTTGGCTCCGTATTTTGCCTTAGAGGAGAGTTAGAGAAAGAAGATAAATGAGCACAACCACCCCATTCGGGACATCACTCACTGCTCTTCTCCCTTTAAGTCACAGATCAAATCCAGACCAGATGCCTCACTTTAAAAAGAATAAGCAAAGGAACTAAAAAAACTCCTACTGTCTATGAAATAAATTGGAAACTTGTTTATGATGGTCTAATTCTAATCTCATCTAAGTCAATTGGTGTTTTCCCAGCAGTTTTCTCAGTAGCAGGGTTAGGCTGATGGGAAAGTGGAAGTCCACCCACGACGTCGGTAGGTTTTGGAGCGGGGCCTTGGTGAGCAGTTGGCAGATGTGCCTGGCATCCAACCCGGGCAACTCTAACCTCTGCAGGACCAGCCTGGCTGCATCAGGCACATTCCACTGCCAGGATTCCTGTAAACTACCCAAGGTGAGACCTTGGCCAAAGAGTTACAGGCAGCCCCACGGCAGGACAACAGCTGAAGCCAAAAGACCATCTCTCCTGGAGCCTGCAGACATGACCATATCCTGATAAACAACCAAAACTGCCCTCAGTGCATCACTTATTTAGGCTGGGGAATTGAAATCACATTGATGGGAAGCATCTTTTGACATTGCATACGTATATACACCAGTGCTTCTGTAAACCTCCTAAAGGAAGTGAAGGTGCTGCCTAGAAAGTTAAAAGCTGATCATGCCTAAACTTCCACTATTTAGTAGTCAAGGAGTAGTTGTTTCTTTTGGGTGTTTCAGTGTTGGTGGTCACTGTGTTGGTGTATTGCATTTTTAACTTGGACCACAGTATCTTGCTGTATAGGATTCATATATTAAATATTATGTGGGGATTGTTTCTGTTTTGGTTTTTTTGTTGTTGTTTTTACACATAATAACAAGATTTCTGTTGCTAGGCTCAACATCAGCTTCACTGTTTGTACATTTTTATGTAAATAGTTGTCACAGGCGGAAGAAGAATTATTTATTTCCATCTCTGAATTCCTTTTCAATCACATCCAGGAAAGATGATTCTCAGTTTCTAAACACATTTGTTTCCTTATTTAAGAAGATATTTATTAACAGTTGGCAAAAATGCATACACATTTCTGGTTCTTTTCTTAGAGCAGTTGTCAGAAGCCTTTTTGTACAAACTAGTAAAATAAATCATTGCAACTTTACAAAAGATATCCCAACGACATTGTGTATCTGTGTGGTTATTCTCCTGATATTCAAAGAACCTTTTTGGCTGGACAATATTTCATCTTGAGCCTCTGTTTTCATGTAGCTCAATCTCTATGTACGGGCAAACCCAGCACATGTTGCTATTTGGTGCAACTCCTTTGGTCCAAATACAACAGGGAGGGAAGAATACAAAAAATATGAATGTGTTTTGCAGTCTGCACTGCAAAGATCCATGATTGAATTATAGTGCAGCTGTCAGCAGCTGTTTCAAAGAAGCAGGGGGTAAATTAGTTCTGTTTACTGCTAACATAGTTCAGAGATTTAGTCATCCCAATAAAATTATAGAGGCACAAGAAAGGAAGAAAGAAACTCCAAAGAAACATCAGCCAAGAAGCTGACATTTTCTAATTTAGATTGTTTTAGCATATTTCAGAGATGCTGCTGGCATGAGGTTTCCTACTGTGGATACCACACTGCATTGCTATGGAGGCAGCTGAAAAAAATAACGGGCTAAATCCCTCTTATTAACTAAACTTTATATCTTCGGGGCATAACAGCAATTTTGGGGTTCTTGTTTACTTTGAGCTGCGAGCAGAGTAGTGCCAGTTCATGTAGATGTATTTGCTGAGCCAGAAGATTAAATCATCAGCATTTTGGAGTTAATTTGCCGTCTTCCACAAGCAATTACAAATTCATAAATAAATTTGCTTTGTGCACTGCTTGGAAGTCCAGCAAAGCATCAGTGGAAAGACCTTTACTGAGCTAAACCAATACCTCCTCGGCTTCTGTAGGCCTGGACTAATTTTAGAAGAAGGATCCTCCGGTATTTCTCATTATGGTCTCAATTCTCTGCATTTAGATCCAGTGTAAGTCAAGGGTAGTGCCAGAAAGGGGAGGAAAAATAAAAGAAATCAATCATGCTGCTTTGCAGGGCCAGTCTTGCAGCCAACAGCAGCTTTACCACTAACTTCAACACGTCCAGCCTTATATCATGAAATATCAGTTGGTTTCCAGCTCTGCCACAAATACACACAACTTGCTGGATGTGCTTTGGAGCAGCTTTCCCAGCCTGGGAGCCAAAACTCTGTTCCCAAGCCGGTTGCAGCCTCCCCTTGGTCTGCAGCACTCCCGTGGCTTTGTCTCCTCATCTACTGTTCTGGAAGAGGAATTCTTGACATCAATACGTGCGCTGCCATAAACTGGCAGGGCCATAAAACTCTAGTGAACGAGCTTCAAAACAGCTAAATTTATCTGAGTAATGACATTTTAAAGCACATTTAAAACATTTTATAGATCAGTTATTTTAACTTCCTTTCAGGCCAGACTTTGAGGATGTTATGTTTGCTTAATTGAGCTGTTTCAGATCTGTTCCAGTACTGACAATAGGACCCTTTTGTCCCAACGCAGGAAACTGCCTCCATTGCTGCCAATGTTCATATAATAAAAAATGATGATTTAAATAAGCCTTAGTGTAATTTTAAGATTTCTGATTGTTATGGAAGTGTCAGCTGTAACGCCTAAAACCAGAGAGGGAGAGCAGAACTCCGGCAAGCGCAGCTCAGCAGCAAGGCCAAGGGCTGGGGGATTTCCTTTGCTGCTGGATTCAGTCCTTGCAGCTCTGCCTGCAATGGGAACAGATAAAAACCCCCAAAGACTCCTCTTTTGAGTTTAGAATTTGCATCTTCTCTATGCTTCCATCCAAATACCCTGCTTGCTGACTTCCATTGCTGCCACAAACACATTATTCTCTGTATTCAGCCTTTCCTTCAGAGAGAAATTTTGCCCAATTAAGTTAAAAGGAGCCTGTTTGAAGTTTTTATTTATCAGGTAATGATTGACAAGACCTCGAGGCAAAAACTAGGAGCACTTTATACTACAGTCATTCATTACCCAAGTACAAAAGCAACACAAATGGTTTATTATGGCCACTTTTAGTTACTCTGTTTTAAATAAAATATCTATTCCTTTTTCCTGCTTAATGCTGTGGAATTTGTATTCCTTAACCAGCATCTAAGAAAGCCCAGGAGTTTTGGATAACATGTTTAATGCACTGATTTTTTTCCTAGTGTGCACATGGGTTTTCCAAGGGTTTGTTGCTCCTGTCCAGGCAACAGGAGCACACTTTTAAATTTTAATATTTTGAAATCTATTTATTGTAAAGTTTGCCACTTTAGGAAAAATCTGCTGTTTTCTCCAATTAATAGAATCTTGATGTATGAATTAATTCTGTAAATGAAGACAGCACAATCTTAAACAGCTTGAGTTTAGCTTTATATTTAAAAGGAAAACAGGACGAGCCACTGTCAGGTTCATCACCTTTACATTTTTTTCCACCATGGAAAAATACTGGAGAAACTAGGAAGAAAAGGGGGCTCACAAACCCTTAGGAAGGCAGCTTTGCACTTGACTACTTTTTGCAGGCATGGTTAAGCATTTAACCATTTGCAGGATAAAGCTCTACATGGGGCTGCTTGAATTAACCTCACCCTCAAAGAATTGGCTTGCTTGTCTGCAATAAAACCCAATCCAGGCCAGTCAGCAGTAATTTGGGGAATGGAGCATTTGTGCCTGGAATTGGGAGGGGTCGAGTGCCTCTATCCACTGCAACGTCCATGGGCTTGCCCGTAATTAAAAACATGCTCTTACCCTTCCCTGGGAGCTGAAGTGACTCCTGAGTTAGCAGCTCTGTGCTGCTGATAACTTTGGGCTAATGGGCTTATTTTAAGCAGCTCTTAAGAAAAAGGAGGAGATGCCAGGACTTCAGTGGATCTGTTGTGCTTTAGCATGTCAG